ATCTGCTCACCAAGCATATGTTGCTCAACCATCTTGTCACGTAAGAAAAGCCGCCTTTCGCATTGCATCCAGCAACCTGCAACAGAAACTTCGAGACACCCAGAAACAAAAATGGTGGGTAAACCTAGCAGGAAATATTCAACTATGCGCAGATTTGGGTGACCACAGAGGCTCTGAAAGCTGCGTATGGACCTAGACACCAGGGTCAAAGCTCCCTACTCAGCGCAGATGACCAAATGCTTCTCATTGACAAAATCTCTATATTGAATCGATGGTCTGAACATTTCCAGACTCTCTTCAGTACCAATTGTGCTGTCACGAACCAATAATTCAGCATATTACACAACAACCGATGAAAAGCGAACTGGATACAACTTCGACTGCGGCAGAAACGCCCAAGGTCATACAGTAGGTGAAAAGCAGCTGGGATTGATGGTGTCCCATCTAAGGTCTGGAAACACGGAGGTCAAGTACTCCATGCCAGGTTTCACGAGCTCGTTCTGCGATGTTGAGGAAAAGGCAAACTTCCACTAGATCTCCGTGATGCAATCATTATCATTTATGCAAGAAAAGAGAAAAATCAAACTGTTCAAATTACCAAGGTATCACCCTGCTCTCTATTGTGGGTCTGAACCGATCAATATTCGCTATATCAGGATATAACTCTCCCCATATCTTCACTTGCGACGACTTTTTATTTTTTATGCAGATAGATCCGGATTTAATGTAACTATTATCGAATTTTACTTATAGACGCTGTTTGCTGAATAACAGTTTGATGGATTTCTTCTCCAGACTATTGGATAAATCAAATATTGACAATTCATCTTGAAAGGAATAAATTTGATTTAATAAATTTTGCTTGAGAATTACAATTATGTTAAAGGAATAAGTGATTAAAGAGGGGGATGAGAGAGAGAATCGATTAGATAGGATGATGAAATCATGTAAGCAAAGAATTACGATAAAAAGAGAAAGAGAGAGATATAAACTAACGATAGGGTGACGTCACAAAGGGGTTTTGGTACGTATGATACAGTATTAAAAACCGAATAAATCTCCATTGTCTGTAAACGAATCAATGAAAAAGAGTCTCCGGCTGTTTTTTATTCACCCTACCATTATCCACGTAATCCATGTTTTAGGCCTCGGGAACCATAGTAATTGTCAACTGATTTAATGCAGAGAATTGAGAAATGAAATTTGTTTTTTAAATTTCCTCCTTCAATGTTATTATTATATGCTTGAAAGGAATAAATTTGATTTGATAAATTTTCCTTAGGGAATTCTCATTTATAATAAAGTATGTTAATAATCCTAAAATGGTGATTTGAAATTGTGATAGTATGAATTGAATTGTGATCGATTACTTATAAACTAATGCAGTCTGTAAACTGAATCACATTAATATAACTATATATTGCAGCCAAATAATGATAGTTTATCTATAAGCTAAATCATGATAATCTATATGTGTAGGAATGAATTGTCTTTGTTCCACTTGTTTTGACATAACACGAATGTATCGATGACTATTGTTGACCGATTCAGGAATAATTGTTATCAACCAGAGTGTTATCTTTCTAACGAATAATCATAATTTTACTTTTGTAGTTTTCTGGTCGAAATTTTCGTTCAAAGTTTAACCTTTAAAGTAATTAATCCAACAAGTGACGGTCCTAACATACCAGCAGTATACGGTAGCGTACTCGTGACGGCAAACCAAGTAAAACCAGCATATGCTATACCGGATAAGCCAATACTCAACGTAAGAAATATGATGATATGGTGTCATCACAAGTCAAATAACTGATAGCTATTAAGAAACTACTTTAACTGGGAAGTGCTAAAACAAGGAAAAGTGGTGATAATGCGAAAGAGAGGGAGAGAGGGAGAGAAGGGAAAGAAGCGAAAGGAAAGTAATTTATAACAGATTAGATATGCATGATTAACGGGTTTTTTCTGTAAAAATAAATCGTAAAATTTTGGTAAGGATTCCGGGGTAATTTTAACAACTGAACTTGAATATGTAGTAAGAGTAATAATAATAATAATAATGATAGTAATAATAATAATAATAGTAATAATAATAATAATTAATAGTTAATAGTCAGGCAATAATTGATTACTAATTAATAATTAATAATTAATGGTTAATGATTAATAATAATTAATAATAATAATAGTAATAATAGTAGTAATAATAGTGATAATAATGATAATAATAATAATAATAACAATAATAATAACAATAATAATAATAATAGTAATTAATAACAATAGTGGTAATAATAATAATAATACATGACAATTGCTACAATAACATATGAGTTTATTATATTCATTTATTGTGTTACCAGATGCTTAGCAGTCTGGTACAGCATGGTGATGACAATGATAACGCCAGTGGATTAGAACTTGATATCATCAACAGAACTATCTGAACATCCGATACAACATGTCTTTTGATGATAGCGTTAATACAGTATGGCTAATGTATTTTATGAAGGATTGATAGGTCTCTCAAAATATGGCTATTAATTGTCAAGATATTTCCGATAATTTATCTCACTGATAAAAGTGCTAATAGTTAATTTCATTTGGTTCCATTCGCAATTTTTTTTAAGTGGAAACTAATTTTGATAATAGTAGAAACATTATCAGTAAGATAATCAACCTGATAAAAGATATCATGCAAGGGATATGACATAATAGAAGATTAATAAAAAAGAGAAATTTAAAAGTAACGAGTGAAGATTAACAAAACAAAAAAAAAGGATCATGTTGTGATTCAATCATTAATTGCGTCATGTCTATGAGTGATTACCATTTAATCCAGTCGTTTGGTTATATTGTGATAAGAAATAGATATGAGTAGACCTGAATATGAAATAGACCTGAATATGACTCATTTCTAAAATAAACTGTTTCCAACTCTAATAGCTAGTCGAACACACAGCAGATATATTTTCTGTCAGCTTTTCAAAGTAATTCTGAAAAAAAAAAAAGAAGTAAAAGATGACACTAACACATTTGGGACAGTCCAGTAATAATTGGCTGATCATAAATGATGAATGCTTTTTTTCTGGCAGCAAACGGTGAAATAAATTTTGGGAAATTGCTTGCTTAAACACGAAAACCAATGATTTATTTTGGACAATGAAACAACAAATACCTGCCGGTCATTTGTGTCACCAAACAACCCCAAAATGAATATAGTACTATGTCTTGCAATGCTTTTGACCATAATAAATTGCTAATGATATAATATTTAAAGATAATAAATTATTCAATCTCATTAACTTTTTCTTGAATAAATATTTCATTAAAATATGTTTAAAAATGTAGCAAGTAGTTTATTTTAATACAGAGTTGCTAAATACTTTTTTAATTATGTTAGCTGATTTTTTAAAAGCATATTTTTGATAATCTTTAATTAAGTATTAAATATAAAAGGAAAGAACTAATGTAAATAAAACAAATTAGGATAGAAGATTTAGATGCATTTTCATTATATTTCGAAATGATCTGCAATAATAATTTGACAATTAAAGATAATCAAACTAAATAACGATACCCACCGAAAGCCATAAGGGATAGAATGAATGATTCATGCTGAACTCAACAATTCTACAAAGTTCAATGAATTTATTGAAATTTTAGGGGTGATAACTCTGCGAACAACCGATAAATATGATGTTAAACAGGTTGAAAAAAGTGGCCTAAAATAAACGAAATAAGTCTAAAATGATCATTTACTATTTAGGGCCTTTTTTTTGCATTATGATAGAAATATTGATAAAACAATTCGAGCTAATACTTATACAAATATAATAGTTACTTTGGCCTAGAAATAATGTGTAGATTACTTATTCAAGATATATCCTAAAAGAATTTAAAGTATGGCAAATAAATTTATGAAAATATTTCACATTGCATTTCCTATTTTAATAAAATATCAAAAAAGGATAAAAGTGCATAGAGCATCTGTCATAATTATTGAAATGACTAAAAGTTCGTTTTGTGGAATAAATCATTGTTTAATAGAATTAATGAATGATGGAAATTATGGCACAAAAAAAAATTTCAATAATTTACAAATGAATCACTTTTACAAGAAATGTTAACAAACGCAGCAGAAAAAAAAGAAAACACTTCAAATAACATAAACTGAATTAGAAATAAAATTTAGAAAGAAAAAATTAAAATTTTAATTAACTAAAAGAAAAAAAAAATAATAGTAATAATAGCAATGTAAACTACAATTGCTCAATTTGCTTGGCCAGTTGATTACTTGAGTGGATACAAATACTAAACTTTTATTTTCGTATGTATTACTCGATTAATTCTTTATTTGAAAACTTAATAACAAAATTGAATAATTATATTTTCAATTTCATATACATATACGTATTTATGTTTTCTATTTCGTTCATCGCTAAATCATCTCAAGAGCATGTCACTGAATCAATATATATTTGTATTTCTTTGTTGCGCAAAATGGTACAGAAATAATCATTGTATATTTACATAAGAATAAAATTTAGGATTGAAAAAAAATCAAAATTGAAGGAACGAAAAACAAAAAGTTGTTGAATTAAAATTATGAATGACCACAAAATGTAATTAATTATTTAAAATTCAATTAAAATTTCCTGAAAGCACAAATTTATTACTTTTTCACTTAAAGGTAACAAAACTGTTATTTTTAAATAAAATATAATAAACATAAATGTAAATATGTACAATAATACCTACGTAAAGTTATTTAAAAGTATTTAACGTTTTAATCACCTGATTCACTCGTTTCACCAACTTATCAAATTAACTTATCATTGCATTATTCATGATTCAAGCCTATTACATGTAAAACTTCTAATACACTTGACATTTTTATCACACCATGAAATTTCTCAGCTTATTTTGCTTAAAAATTCACATTTCTATTAATTATTTGGCAAAAATTTAGAACGAAAATATTATTTATTGGTAAAATTTCATGCATACTTTTAAGAAATTCAAATTGTTCCAAATAATTTCGAATAATTAACAAATCACTAAAAACATTCCATAATTAATTAACTCTTTTGCTCCGCTTATTTTTATTATAACAAATGATTTTGAAATTAAATCGTTTTTTGCCTTTCCACTTTTTCCTGTTTAATGAAATGCGCATCTGAAAACATATGATAATCAATAAGTATTTTGATAAATAAATAATTTAGATGCTATTTCAAAAAGTGATAAACATTACAATTATAAGTTAAGATTATCACGGATAAAAGATAATTAGCATTAATTAAGGATGTAAATGGCTAAGAGTAAATGCTATAATTAAGGAGGAGAATTAACTAATTGTTCATTTGCGTTGATAAGTTATGATTTGCGATTAATTTCATACTTATGCAAGTATAATCCTCATTTCAACATTGTAAATAATAATGAAAACGGACGAAAACTACACGATAGATGCAATAATATTGCATATGTTTTAGATAACCAGCAAGATAGATCGAAATTTCTCTGATAAACGATTAGGTGATAAAGATAAGGAATAATTTTAAATTGAGAATAAAATATCTGAATATGTTTTCTAATATATATATTAAATCTAGAAAGGAAGAGATATAAAAGAGAATAGTAATTTTCATAAATATAAGTTAAAAGTGAGGAATGAATTAATCATTACCAAAATAATTGAATTATTTAGAATATAAGCAATAAAAATATTGCTTATTTTTCTGAAATAATGAAATGATTGTAATAAGTAGAAGATAAGTACAATTTGATATAATTTGTTCATTAATTCCTTATTATTTGAATTAAAATTAGCAATTGCCATATTTGTAAATAATCAAAATTACGATATTATTTCATGGAATTAAAGTAGGTTCTTAATATTTTAATTTATTAAACGATTTTAGACACTGGATTTTCTAACTTTGGTATTGGTACAGCCATTTTGGCTTGTGGTTTTTATTGGATCCAAGGATTTTAAAAGGTATTTAAACCTACAGGATTTTGAATTTAACATGCCATTTAAGAGAGCAATATCTATAAATAGGATAAAATCACTGGACAAAGCACTTTGTTACATGAAATAATGAATTGGTTTTCTTAGACTTGTACAAGGTAATATGCTTCAGTATCACTTGTTGTCTTCCTTTCAGTAACGGAGAATACATCGATAAGAGATTGTTGGAATCAGGACGAGATTCAGAATGTTTCTATCGGTACATGCAAAGAGACCATCATCAAAGTTTCGCAGAATGGTTACATAAAAAGAACGCTTCACACTACACGCCCATTGCGCCCATTTATCAGCAATCGTTGCTAAATTTACAGGTCAGCGCAAATTTCATTCACTTCTGAAGGAATCCTGCAGGTATTCATCTCATTCATTATTTCAACATTGTTGCAACTTTTCCTTCCCAAAGTTTGATTTCAATATCAATTTATCAAACATTTAAAATGGGAACTGTGACAAGAGATGTAGCAGTATGTGTCCCTATGTGACTAATTAAGAAGTAATTCGCTTGAATCATTTAAATTAGACTCCAGCATT